TAACATCATCAGTGCTAGTCAGAGTTAGACATCAGTGAGACAACTGGAGCCTGTTCCCAGTGTGCAGAGTTGTCAGACGAAGGGAACAGCTAAAGAACAGGGGTCGACTTGGGAGTAAGGCAACAGGTGGATGATGAATGGCCCCTCCCAGAGGGAATAAGAGGAACGAAAGGGGAGTGGAGTTTGCAAGAGACAATTAGTTCGCTTTAATTGGTTCGTGACTCTCCGAGACTCCTTGCCAAGTTCTACAGAGATCGGCCTGGCAGCTCTCCAAGCCAGATAAGGTCTGTGACTGTAAATCCTCCCTTGAAAGACTTTGCTGGATGTGAATGAGCAGGAATTCGCAGTCAATTAATAAAAGGTTGGGTTTTTTTGACGAGACAAGGAGTTTGCTTCAGGCTCTCGGGAAGCCTCGGTCAAAACACTTACCGTAATCTAAATTAAAAATGGTGAAGAGAGCTGGGCATTTGACATAGACCACTTCACCCACCATGGCTGGTTTCCAGCAAGTGATGTTATCCCACATCCCAGCGCAACCTGTGGAAATAAAGAAACGGTTTAAAAACAATGCAGAAGACAGAGGGCAGAGGAAGTGTTCTTGGGCTTTTTCTTTTTAATTTATTTATGCCTTTATTATTTTGCAATTGCTCGTTTTTTTTAAACTTTCCATATTATTATAATTTTTTTTATTCTTTTTTATTCGTTTGCTGTTACTTCTATTTTATTACTCATTTATTAATCCGTTGTTTTTAATTTATTTATTGGGTCGTTTTTTTTACTTTATTTGTTTTTTTTTATTTTGTGTTTTGTTATTTATTTGGGGTTTTCTTGTTTCATTGTGTTTTCTTTTATGTGGGTATCTGGATCAACTTACCACAACTCATTTAGTTGCCATTCAAAGCTACAAGAGCATTAAAAAATGACTTATGACCATTTCTCACGCTTACGACTGTTACAGCATCCCCATGGTCACGTGATCAAGATTCAGACCCTTGGCAACCGTCTCATATTTACGACGGTTGCAGTGTCCTGTGGTCACATGATCCCCTTTCGCGGATTTCTGACCAAGAAACTCAACGAGGAAGCCAGGTTCTCTTAGCAACCGCGCGACCCACTTAACAACCGCATTGATTCACTCAACAAATGAGGCAAGAAAGGTGGTGAAATGGGGCAAAATTCACAACCATCTCATTCTGCAACTGAAATTCTGGGCTCAGTTGGGGATCATAAATCCAGGGTTACCGCTACTACAGTCGTAACTCAAGGACCTCCTGTAGCAGAAGGAAGAAAGGGGTGACACAAAGCTTTAAGGACCTTTGCGAACTTCATAAACAACTTGGAAACTGTACACGTGTGGTTTTTCTGTTGTGGTATTTCTAGGATGTTTTTTGTTTTTTTTAAAATCTACATTCTGGAATTTTCTGCCTGTTTTCAAAAGATCGATTCCCCATTTATTTTTGGAGGAATGCACTCTGTCGCATGTTAAATTGATCGAGTTCCAGTTTTGCTGCTGGCTCATTCTCCTATTCAGACTGCCACCTAAAAATCAAACACCACCCTCTCCTACTATTAAAACTAAATAAAATTTCAGAGGCACCCCTTAGAATAACGCATTCCAACAGCGCGAAGGCACAGTGGTTTACGGAAACTCAAGTTGCACACTCTAAAAATTTGAACAAGGACAGGAGAGAGAGAGAGAGAAAAGCAAGATGGTTTTAATTGAAATTAGGGAAATGAAATTTGGGTGATATTTTCCCCGTGGATTTATCCGCGTCCCCTCTCTGCCCCCATCCGAAATTTATAATTTCCATAGCAACTTTGGGAGATGTTTTGATGGCCAAAACACGATTATGTAATCTCTGCACTCCTGCATTGCAGCAATCATGAAATGTATGAATGGGGAGCATGGCATTGTCTAAATAGCCTGTTTTCTCCAACGGAGAGTTTTAAAATGAGAAATCAGCTCTCTTGTTCCGTCTTCCCATGGTGGTAAATGGGTGGAGGGCTCCTTGGTCCTGCCCTTCCGTCCCATGCTGCTAAATCTATGTTCACAGATTGCGTGATTAGATTTTTATCCAGCTTCCATTACATTATAAGGGATGGGGTGTACATAATATTGCTTCCTCCTGCTATTTCCCTACAACAACAACCCTGTAAGGTGGCTTGTGCTGAGACAGAAAGTCACCTATCCGGCTTTCGTGCCTAAGGCGGGACTAGAACTCACTGTCTTCTCGTGATTGGCCACCCAGCCGGCTTTCGTCCTAAGGCGGGACTAGAACTCACCGTCTTCTCGTGATTGGCTCAAAGTCACCCAGCCAGCTTTTGTGCCTAAAGCGGGACTAGAACTCACTGTGTTCTTGTAATTGGCTCAAAGTCACCCAGCCAGCTTTNTGCCCGGCATAATTCTTTAACAAGCATTTAAGTATAATAAGGCCAGCTAACTTTAAAATTTAAAAAAAGTAAGATAAAAATAAAGCCAAAAACACAGTGTTTCTCAACCTTGTCAACTTGAAGATGTCTGGACTTCAACTTCCAGAATTCCCCAGCCAGCAGATGTCTGGGAGTTGAAGTCCAGACATCTTCAAGTTGCCAAGGTTGAGAAACATGACTTAACAACCATATTTCTAAATTAACAACTACAGGTGTGGCAAGAAACATCTCAAAATGGACAAACTCACTTAGCAAAAGAAATGTTGGACTCAATTGTGGTCATACCTCAAGGACAACCTATACAGGCAGTCTTCCACTTACAACCATCTGTTTAGCAACCATTCAGAGTTATGACCATTTGTCACACTGAGAGCAGTGACAGCATCCCTATAGTTATTTAGTCAAAATTTAGGCATTTGGTAACCAGTATGGATTTACCATGATTATGGGGTCATTTATGGTTTCCTTCTGGCCTATAGCTCTTGCATCTCTTGGTGGTCTCCCATCCAAATTCAGGGAGCCCTTGAGCAGAACTGAACCCAATTTTTTTTGTTGCTAAGCGAGGCAGTCATTAAGGGAGCTTTGCCCCATTTTGCAACCTTTCTTGCCACTGTTGTTAAGTGCAGTTGTTCAGTTAGTCACACAGTTGTTAAGTGAATCCGGCTTCCCCGATTGTTCATCGGGTAGGTTGCAAAACAAGATCACACGGCAATTCACAATGGTCATAAATAAGAACCAGTTGCCAACCTTCCAAATTTCGATCACGCGACCTTGGGAACGTTGCAGCAGTTGTGAAAGACAGGTCGTAAGTCACAACCTTTCCAGTGCCGCCGTAACTTTGAACGGTCACTTAAATGAACTGTTGTAACTCGAGGACTGCCAGTACTCAGCAGCTCTGAATTTGCGTTCCTTTTGCGAGGTCAATCGGAGTCAAGGGGCTTGCATGATAAATGACTTAAGGCTACTCCTTCCCCCCCCACTCCTGCTCCTACATGCCTTGGCTTGCAGTAACTCCAAATATTCTTCTACCGTTCAGAATAACTGGAGTCCAGGAGTTCAACCATCTTATTGTTGTGGCCTCCAGTGGCCATTAGGCCTGGCAGGAGATTTGGACAATGGGGAGGTTGAGGGGGAACCTGGGCCAGTCCTGGAGTCTGGGGAAGGCTCTGATGAGGGCTCTGCGTCGGAGGCAGAGAGGGGGCCAGGGCCGTCCAACAGTTATCAGCTGCCTTCGGAGTCAGACATCAGTGAGGCAGATGAACAGCTGGAGCCTGTTCCCAGTGTGCGCGTGCGCACAGAGCTGCCAGGAGAAGGGAACAGCTAAGGAACAAGGGTTAACTTGGCAGTAAGGCCACAGGTGGAAGGTGAATGGCCCCTCCCATAGGGAATAAAAAAGGAGCAAAAGGGGAGGGGTATTTGCAGGAGACCATTCATTCATTCCTACATTCTTGCCAAGTATTATGGCGTCTGAAAGATCCCAGCCCAGCCACTCTCCAAGCCTGATAATTGTTGGTGATTGAATTATCTTGAAAGACTCTGGGTCGGGACTTTGCTGGAGAGGAATTCACCATAAATTAAAAGGGTTTAATCGGG